ACCTAACAAAACACATTTTCAGCACGTTCAGAAAACTTATCATTATTATTAAGTTTTGTAGCAAAACATAAACTACCAAAAACTCTTAGATGATCAAAAACAGGCACTTTCTTAAATACTAATTCATAAGGAGATTGTCCTTTTAAAACAGAAGTTGGCATTCTATTTATCAAAAAAACTGAAGTTAGAATAGCTTCTCCCCAGTATTTTATTGGAAGACCAGACTGAAAAAGTAAAGACCTAGCAACATTCAAAATATGCCTATGTTTTCTTTCTACAATACCATTTTGCTGAGGTGTGTACACACAACTTGTTTGATGAACAATACCATTTACTTTAAGAAAAGACTCCATTTTATGATTTAAAAACTCAGTTCCATTATCAGAACGAATTGTTTTAATTTTAGAATCAAATTGATTTTCCAAAATATAAAAGAATGAGGTAAAGCTAGTAAAAACTTCATCTTTACTTTTCAAAAGATAAACCCAAGTAGCCCTTGTGAAATCATCCATAATAGTCAGAAAGAACCTATAGCCTTCTCTAGTAGACATTCTATAAGGACCCCATACATCTAGATGAACTAATTCATCAAGTTTAGATGAACTATGAACACTATGAGGAAAAGACTCACGAGTTTGTTTTGCTTTGTGACAAACATCACAAGGAGGAAGAAAAGAATTGTCAAAATTAAGAACATCTTTTAAAGAGTTTAAAGCTTGTTCAGTTGGATGACCTAACCTACTGTGCCATGTAAGTTTAGAAACGCAACATTTAACAGAACTACAAGAACCAATACCTGAGGGAAAAGCATCTAGATAATATAATCCCCCAGACTCTCTACCATTATGAACAACTTTCTTTGACTGTAAACCCTGAATTGTACAACAGTTTTCATTAAAAACAACTTCACAGTTTGTGTCTTTGCATAATTTGTGAACAGAAAGAAGATTAACATTAAAACCAGGAACAGCAAAGACATCAAAAAGTGTCAGATTTTCAGAAAATTGTAAATTTCCAATTTTTTCAATTTTAGCAGAGGAACCATTAGGATGATTAACAAGAAGGTTTAATTTTGAGACATCAACAATATCATGCAATAAAGACTCAGATGAAGTCATATGCTGATTTGCACCTAAGTCCACAATCCACTTTTGATGATTAAAGGTAGAATTGTAGACATTAAATGAAGGAATACCTGCCATATTAGCACTGACAGGAGTATCCTCAGAAGTTGAATTTTTATCACTGATGAGACTCAAAAGCTTATGATACTGTTCACTTGTGAAACAATAAGCTCCATCATTTCCAGAAAGAACACTAGAAGAGGAACTACTAGAGGGAACAGAGGAAGAATTAACAGAAAAGGTTTTATTCTGATTCCTTTGAACATCATTACTAGACTCATTCCTAGGTTTAAAATCTTTTGGATAGCCTATCAACTTATAACACCTATCAATGAGATGACCTTTAAGACCACAGTTTTTACACTGCAAGTTTTGATTTCTTCCTCTATTTGAGTTAAAATTCTTTTTATCATTAACCCTACTACTAAATGCAGATGATTGAGTTTTAGACACATTAGACAAAGAAGTCAAAACCCCATTCTTTTGATGTGACTCTTCTCTAGAAACAATTGAAAAAGCAGATTTAACATTTGGAAGAGGTTCCATTAAAAGAATATGACTCTTCACTTGATTAAAAGAGTCATCAAGACCACTTAAAAATTGCATTAACTTCATGAGTTTTGAATGATCATTATATTTAGTTGCAGCTTCACAAGTACACTCAGCAAGATTAGTAAGACCATCAAATTCTTTCCAAAGTGTATCTAACTTGTTAAAATATTCAGACAAAGAGGACCCATCTTGTTTAAGTGAATTTATTCGTTGATGTATATTAAAGATAACAGAACCATCAGCCTTATTATAAGTTTGAAAAAGTTCATTCCAAATATCTACATCAGATTCAGAATAAGCATGCCCAGAATAGATTGACTCAGACAAAGAACCAAGAATCCAGGAACACACTACAGCATTAGCACGTTCCCATTTTAAAGATTTTAGTTCATCTTTAGAATCCTTAATTACAGTTCCTTCTACAAACCCTAGTTTATTTCTAGCCTTAAGACTCCTTATCGTAGAGCTACACCATACACGAAAGTTATCAGTCCCAGTCAATTTAAAATTTACAATTGTGGTTACAGTATTGTCAGAAGGATGAATATACAATGGATCATCGTAGTTCACAGAATTGTCCTTTGAACTACTACCAGTATCAACAGGAGAATCAGTCACATTCGCACAAAGTTAAGCCAAACAAAAAACAAAAAAGATGATCAACCTACTATGATTCTTATATGTCCAGATGGTCACCACAGTTTGTCGGGGCCCAAGACAAGAACCATAGAGTAAAACAAAACACAGATAACCAGGATAGAATAAAAGAACAAAAATCACAGAAAATCAAAAAACAAATAACTGGTGTACTCAAGACAACCAGGATCTCCCACATCTACAGCTAGAAAAAGAATAGAAAGGAACAAAAAAACCCTCACAGAGTTGATTAGCGATGGAAAGACGAATCGACTCCTGTTACTCCGTTCTCTTTAACAATAACGGTGATGAAATCCGTTATCAAGAGTTATTTCAGAGAACAGGATTGATCGATTGATGTTTATTTTGTCGATCAAGGATCTCCACTCGATGATGAGAAAGAATCAATCAAGGATCTCCACTTGAGGACAAACCTGCAAGAACACAACAAAACTCGCAGTACCAAAATTTCAACAAAAAACAATCACTGATCCAGACCAAATTGATGATCAATTAGATCAATGAAAGAACCCTAGATATTCACAGAAGGTTAAACAACCTGTGACGTTCAAAAGAAGTCACAGAAGAACCCAGCAATGAAGATCTACAAGGATCTAACACGAAAGAGAAATAGAACTAAAATTACCTTTACAAAGATGATCATCAAGCAGAAGATCGAAGCCCTAAAGCTCTGATACCATGTAAAGAAACGTATAAACTCATCTTCCCAACATCATCATCTATTATATCATTTAAGGACAAATAGACAAATGGTTTTCAGGTACTTACAAACAAAACCTCACTACACAAATCCTACTCTACACTCTTTACAGAACACTCATCCTAATCTAACAAGAACAGATGAAGAACACTATCGATAAAACCCTAATCTCACAGAGAGAACAAAAGAGAGGACTTAAAATATCTGAGATGATTTTTATGACCCGTATCTGCTCCAACATCCAATATATACTTCGGAGATATGACCCGCGTGTTAACCCGGAATCATAAAGAGTATTACTTCAGCTTTAACCCAAGACTTCCAACAAGTTACATAAACAGTCCAAACATCTTGATTAATAACAACTTTATACTTTATCACCCTGCATAATCTCAAATGACAAGTTTGTACCAATACTCAATATATTTAACACTGTGAATACCACAGGAACTATTTTTGTAATTTACTTTAGATATAGATTGTGTGCGGGTTTTTACTGGGGTCCATGGAAACGGTCGGGTGTCTTGTAAAGATTGTCACCGACAAAATAAATGAAAATTTGAAAGAGCATGTTGTAAATTGCCATACAAAACTCAAAAGTCAAAAGTCAAAATTCAAAAGTCAACAATATACATAGTCTATTCAACTATTGTAATTTAGTAAGCTAAACAGTGAGATACTTCATTTTCTAAGACAATAATATTGTATTCACTTATATGCCATCAAAAATATTATCCTATATAATATTTAGTAAGTTACGAATTTGGTCCCTGGGCATATCGTTTTTCCAGCTTTGGTCCATGGGCAAAATAATCTATTTAGAAATTCACAGACTAAAGGCTAGATTTAACGATTCAGCAACAAATTAAAACCACTGGGACATATTTTTTGACAAAATCAAAACTTGGACCGAACCTATGATTTTCAGTAAACTACAGGGACCAAAATTGCTACTCATTTTGAAAAGGTAGAAAATGACACTAAGAAATAACGAGTTGCTTGGTTCGCAACTTGGCATAATGTTTCTGGAGAAACGAAATCTGTCAAACTAATTTGAGTCTGATTAAACTACAGTTCCTCATACGCTTGGTTAGCATTAATGAAATAATATTTAGGAAATAGTAATATTTAGTTTTATATAGTCTTTAATTTTTGTATTTTGATTTATTTTTAAAGGATTGATGATCGTATAAAAGTAATACGCAAAAACTACATTGTCACATGCCTCTTTCACATGTGGAAGGAATGCACAAGGTTCGTTCATTTTTCAGGTTCTTCTAAGGACCCTTGGGAACCATCCAGTTTGACCCGTTAACATAGTAGGGCCGGACCATCTAGTCTTGGCATAACAACGCTAGCTATTAAAAGACTGAAAGAATTGTTAACAGGAAGAATCCAATCCCCTTTAATTTTTAAGAATTGCTTGTGGAAAAATATAATATTGACTTCTCAAAGTTCTTACTTTTGTCTCTACTGTTTTTTGAACAGGTAAAAAATTGGAATTTAATGTCTTTGTTAACCATGGGTCTTTTCCTAGATTGTCATGGTTTGTTGAACAGGTAAATATGGTTTGTTCAACAATTTTATAGTTAGTGTGTATATGCTTTGTTGAACAAGTAAAAAATCAAATCTAGTTTAGTTTTTTGATAGCTAATTACTATTATAATGTCTTTGTTAACCATGGTCTTTTCCTAGATTGACATGATGTACATTTTAAAGTTTAATAGATTCCTTGTGGAAAAACATAACATTGACTTATCACATAAAAGACATTTCTTGTGAAATAAATGACTTTTTCCAAATTTTCCATGTATAAAAAAGTAAAATAATAAAAACAAACAAACAAAAGAAAGCAATAACGCAAGTATAAATTAGGCAGATACAAACTATCTTTTTTCAAAAAGAGAAAAAACATGGCAAAGCACATAATGTCTTCCTCAACCTTCTTACTTTTTTCTCTACTAATCATGAAACTCTCCCCCATACCAAATTTTGCTTCTGCTTCTTTGGAGGAAGCCAATGCTCTTCTTAAATGGAAAGCAAACCTTGAAATCCCAAAAAACTCCTTGCTCTCTTCATGGATTCCCCTCCCTTTGAATTCCAGTGCATCGGTTCCATGCACTTCTTGGTTTGGAGTAGTTTGCAATGCTGATGGGAGCATTCAGAGGCTAAACCTCAGTTCATCTGGACTAAAGGGTACGCTTCATCAATTTTCATTCTCATTGCTACACAATCTTACTCATTTTGATCTCAGTGTAAACAACTTCTTTGGCCCCATCCCACCAGAAATCAGACTCCTGTCCAGACTTGTCTATCTTGATTTTTCAGAAAATAATTTTTCTGGAGTAATCCCACCTGAAATAGGGATGATGCTATCCAATCTTGAGATATTTTACCTGAATGGAAATAACTTGATTGGTTCCATACCACAAGAGATCGGTCGACTAACCTCTCTCTATAAGCTTCAATTGTCTGACAATTTTCTTCAAGGAGAATTGCCTCCAACACTGGGAAATTTAACAAAGTTAGTTCATCTGTGTCTGTATAACAATAAATTTTCGGGTCAAATTCCTTCATCATTGGGTGATTTGACATCTTTGAATGTCTTTTATTTGGACCACAATCAACTCTCTGGTCCCATTCCTATCGAAGTAGGGAATTTGAAGTCTCTCACTGATCTTAATGTGAGTGACAATCAACTTACTGGTTTTATTCCTTCATCACTAGCAAACCTGAGCAACCTACAACACCTGTACCTTTTTAAGAACAAATTATCTGGTCCCATTCCTATTGAACTTGGGAATTTGAAGTCTCTGATTGATCTTACGTTGAACCACAATCAACTTGTAGGTTCTATTCCTTCATCACTAGCAAATCTGAGCAACTTACAGCGTCTGTACCTCCATCACAATAAATTATCTGGTCCCATTCCTATTAAACTTGGGGATTTGGAGTCTCTCACTGTGCTTGGGGTGGGTGACAATCAGATTAGTGGTTCTATTCCTTCAACACTAGCAAACCTAAGCAACCTACAGTATCTGTACCTCAATGCGAATAAATTATCTGGTACAATTCCACAGGGATTAGGAAGTCTAGAATTGTTTCACCTACAAATGTACAATAATCAATTGTCTGGCGATTTGCCTGATGATTTGTGCAATGGGGGAAAGCTTCAATTGTTAATAGTTAATGGCAATCAACTCACTGGTTCTATTTCAAGAGGCTTAAAGAATTGTTCTAGCTTAATAAGGGCTCGGTTTGATCAAAATCAATTCAGTGGAGATATATCAAATAGTTTTGGTGTTTATCCAATCTTAAATTACCTTAATGTCAGTCACAATAATTTTCAAGGGCAGCTTTCTCAAAACTGGAGTAAATGCAAGAATTTGACATCCTTAGTGATGTCCTATAACAACATCAGTGGTAGCATACCACCAGAGTTTGGAAATTCAACTCAACTACAAAGACTTGATCTTTCTTCAAATTGTTTGGTTGGTGAGATCCCAAGGGAGTTTGAGAAGATGAAAAGTATGTTGTATTTGTACTTGTCTCATAATCAACTTTCGGGTATTATACCACAGGAGCTCGGATCACTGCATCATCTCCTTGTTCTTGATCTATCCAAAAATATATTGAATGGGTTGATTCCAACAAGTATTGGTTATTGGGCAGGCCTCTACTACTTGAATCTTAGTAATAACAACCTCAGTGAAAAAATCCCATCTGAGATTGGTAAATTAGGTCAACTTACGAAAGTTGATTTATCTCACAATTTGCTCACCAAAGAGATACCATCTGAAGTTCAAAGTTTGCAAAGTTTGCAAAAATTGGATCTTTCTCACAATAGACTATCTGGTTCTATTCCTGATACTTTTACAAGTTTGCCTAGCGGGATTGATATCGACCTATCTTACAATGAGCTCAAAGGTCCGGTTCCCCATAGCACTAACTTTGTGAATGCATCCATACAAGGCAATCCAGGTTTGTGTGGAAATGTTACAGGGTTAGATCTTTGTGCAAGTCAAATTAAAAAGAAGAAAAATGATGCATTTCATCATAGGCTTATCCTTGTAATTATGCTCCCCCTTATTGGGGTAGTTTTACTTGGTTTGTTCATGTGTGGAATCATTGCTCATCGACAACGGAAAAAAGTTGCTCCACAGATGCAGTTGGACGAAGAAGGTCATGATTTTTTCTCCATAACAAGTTTTGATGGAAATGTAGTTTATGACGAAATCTTGAAGGCAACAAATGATTTTGATGAAGCATATTGTATTGGGACCGGAGGATGCGGCATTGTGTACAAAGCACAGCTACAACCTAACAATGTGTTAGCAGTCAAGAAAATTCATTCATCGATATCATTTGAGGAGACTGATCATAATGGTTTCCTTAATGAGGTACGTGCATTAACAAACATAAGGCATCGAAACATAGTGAAACTCTATGGATATTGCTCCCATGCCCGCCACTCATTTTTGATTTATGAATACCTTGAAAAGGGAAGCCTTGGATCAATCTTAAGAAGCAATGTCTTAGCAAAAGAATTGGATTGGTTGAAAAGGGTCAATATTGTAAAGGCTGTAGCTAATGGTTTGGCTTATATGCATCACGACTGCTCACCTCCTATAATTCACAGAGACATATCCATTGCCAACATCCTTCTTGATTCTGATTATGAGGCACATATTTCTGATTTTGGGACCTCCAAGCTTTTAAAGCTAGACTCGTCCAACTGGACTGCAGTTGCTGGTACCTATGGTTATATCGCACCAGGTAACATACTCTTGTGATGTTAGTTCTACATCTTTAGTTTCACGATATATATATATATATATATATATATATATATATATATATATATATATATATATATATATATATATATATATATATATATGTATTTATGATAGAATCTCGTGGCGTTGATACAATCTTTTTTGTTTTATTTTTTTTATGTTTCTTTGGATATAGAGCTTGCTTATACAATGGTGGCAACCGAGAAATGTGATGTGTATAGCTTTGGAGTTGTTGCACTAGAAGTGGTCATGGGAAAACATCCTGGAGAACTCATAACATTTTTACCAACATTGTCTACTGATTATCTGGTTGCAATCAATGTGGGAGATAGTCGGATGCCTCCTCCCTCATCCCAAGTTGAGAAACAAGTTAAGTCAGTTCTGAGTATCTCAAGAACATGTTTGAACTCGAATCCACATGAAAGGCCAACAATGCGCCAAGTTTCAAATCTGTTAGTGAAGGATCTGCGTTGAATTGACATCTCTTACTGATATAGTGTACTTTCAATACCTTTACTTTTGTGAAGTTCCGTATATGCCTCCTGATAAGGTGTATTCATTTGAATGCCTTCTGGTGAAATTTCTGATCATATGTTTTCTTAATATCATTATGTAGTAGATAAAGAAATAAGTCAATGAAGTTTTCTATCATTTTAGACATTCACTGCTGGAAAATCAAGTACTAGCAACTTACTAATCCATCGATTCTTCATGAGAAGTTTCATCTACTATAATTTAACGACTTTTCATCTGTTTTGTTTTCAGGTAAATTTTAGCAACAACATTTTCCATCATTTGGATTTCCAATACATGTAAAAAGTAGTAAAATTACATTGATAAATTAATTAAATACAAGAAAACGTATTCTACATTAATTTATATGAAATAAATAAAGACAGATAAAAAATACGAATTGAGTTTTACACAATATATAAGTATGGTTGTTCAAAGCATAGTGGAATATGACAAAATAGAAAAAATCTAACAAAAGTCAATAAAATCCACTATGTTGTTATGATTACAATAAGGAGAAAAGATAATTATATATTGAAAATATGTGAAGAAAATGAAGTGTGCAATTTCAGAAATATCATTATCTGAAAATTATTCCAGGGGTATAGGAATTTAACAAGGATTGATGCTTCTCCTATGACTCGGATTGTCTGGCACTAGATTCTTATCTATGAAAGGAAGGCATTTGTATGTCCCACGTATAGCTTGGCTATGGGGTTGACCACGGCATGGTGGGTCAACCACTGATTTTGATTGTTTACTTTTTGACCTATTTGACTTTTAGTTAAAATTTGGAGGTTTTGAGCTATAGTATGAGGTTTAGCTTGTGTTTAGTTTAGGCAGTTCATGTAGCTGATTCTTTGGGATTTCAAGTAGTCGGATTCATCTCTTGACTGAGATGAGTCTTCTGACTATACTGTGGGACACTAAGTGTTAAGATGTGTTGTTTGTCATTGTGAATCACATGAAAGACCACGATTTGGCCTGTGGCATATGCATGAAAGACCATAATTTGACCCATGGCATTTGTATGAAAGACCACAATTTGGCTCATGGAATTTGTATGAAAGACTACGATTTGGCTCATAGCAAGAAAGATCATGATTTGGCCCATGGTAGGGAGTGATTGTAAGACTACGATTTGGCCCATAGCATTCACTTGGGTTGAAACAAACCCGTTACGTTATGTATGGTTGTATGTGGTATCTTGGGGAACTTACTAAGCTTTGTGCTTACGGTTTTAAGTTTAATGTTACAGGTCTTTTTGGCAGTACGGAGAAGAGCACGACATGATTGTATCGCATCTGATTTTATGATTTTAAGATGTTGTGCACATATGATTTTATTAGTACTCTGATTTATTTTTTCAAACAATCAAATGTTTGCTTTATAAATGAATGACAAGGTTTCCTTTATTTTAAAATGAAATATTTGGTTTTCAATTTTGGACGTTATACAACATCTGATTCGGTTGTTGGGTCGATAAAGTTGGTTGTTGGGTTACTCTGACAATCCAACTTCCTGGATAGTACCATTACCCCCCCCCCCCCTTATAGAGGAGCTTTTCATCAAGATCTGGAAAGTCATTGAGGTTTTCCCATGTAGCTTTTTCTTTGTCATGACCCTTCCATTGGATTATTAACCATTTGATTGAGGTACCATTATGGTCGATGAGGCGGCTATCAAGAATGCTCTCCAGTTTCTCTAATAGGTCATCATCAACATAATGTTCATGCAGTGGTATTCTTAGATTTATGGTTGGGACGATACATGGTCGTAAGAGGGACATATTGAACATTCGGTTTATGTGAGCCTCCGATGGAAGCTCCATATCATATGAAATTCATACAATATGCTACAATAGTATAAATGGACCACAAAAATGTTGACTTAGTTTTTGAAATTTGTGTGTTTGGAATAACTTTGGCGATGGACTCGTAAGCGTAGGTAATGCCATTTACCAACATTGAATTGTTTCCATGTCCGATTCTTGTCGATTTGGTATTCTGTAAGGTTTCTTTAAGGAGATAAATGAGGCATTGGTTCTCTCATAGTGTAGCTTCTAAAGATGGGACTTGAGTATTTTTGAGTGTATAATTTAAGAGTAATGGTGTTGGCTTACCATATAGTGCCTGGAATGGGGTCATCTCGATACCACTGTGATAGTGAGTACTGTACCATTCTTCGACTAAGAATTTACTCCAATTTCAAGGTTCATCACATGTAAAACATCATAAGTAAGACTCGAGACATCGATTGGCCACTTCTTGTGAACTAATGAACCAAATATTTCTAGGTTTCATTATTGAAAAATAATACATAGTACAGTTACAAATGAAAGGAAAAGAAAATATAAATAGGAAAGCTAATTAGGTTAAACAACTAAAGAGTTAAAGTACGAAACATGGCCCGAACCAAAAAATGGCCTAATAACTTTATTATGCTAACATCCCCCTTCAAACTCATAATGAGACAGCAATAAGCATTGAGAGTTTTTCAGACAAAAAATGAAATTGAGGAACAGTCAAGGCTTTTGTAAATATATCAACAATCTACATTGTGGATAAAACATGAGGAAGAGAAATAGTCACCCGCTGAAAGTGGTGACGAGTGAAATGATAATCAATCTGTGACGCCCTATTCTGAATTGTTTCCTATTGCGGGGTTGTGACCGAAGATCGGGTATCATCAGGCTTAGGGCCTTTGAGGAAAAGTGTGACAACCGTCAAATTCAAGTCAAAGTCAAAGTCAAAATCAACAATGTCAAACCGGTCAAACTTAACCAATACTTGTATAAGAAAAGATAATTTGTAAAAATGTGTGTTGGCATGCTAAGAATTCAAGTGTTTCAGATATTCTATGTGAATAGCAATATAAAACCCTAAAAAGGGAGTTAAACACTTCAAAACACGACTAAGGACCCTCTCGGGGACTTAAAACAATCATAAACGAAATATAACGGGATTCAAGAACCTTACATTACGAGATTATGCGATAATATTGGCTAATATCAAATCTCTCCCAAATCTCTCCAAGCATGTGAAATCTCTCCCAAATCTCTCCAAGTATGTGAAATATCTCCCAAATCTCTCCAAGTATGTGAAATCTCTCCAAAAATGTGAAATCTCTCCCAAATCTCTCCAAGTATGTGAAATCTCTCCCAAATCTCTTCAAGTATGTGAAATCTCTCGAAGTATGTGAAATCTCTCCCAAATCTCTTCAAGTATGTGAAATCTCTCCCAAATCTCTCCAAGTATGTGAAATCTCTCCCAAATCTCTCCAAGTATGTGAAATCTCTCCCAAATCTCTTCAAGTATGTGAAATCTCTCCCAAATCTCTCCAAGTATGTGAAATCTCTCCCAAATCTCTCCAAGCATGTGAAATCTCTCCTAAATCTCTCCAAGTATGTGAAATCTCTCCCAAATCTCTCCAAGTATGTGAAATCTCTCCCAAATCTCTCTCAAGATCTCTCTCAACTTTTTTTAGTCATCCCGACCCTTAACTTGGCCAAAAACCGCTTGAAACAGAGAGTTATATCGAAAAACAACTAATTAGGGCTGAAACCCCTCTTAGGAACCGAAACCCCTCTTAGGAACCGAACCTCTTAGAAACCGAACCTCTTAGGGTCGAACCCTCTCGGAGCCGAAATTGTCAGAAGCGAGCCTGTCAGAAGCGAAGCACCCTTCTCGGACCGAAGCTCAGCAGACCGAACCAAGACCCTCGGACCTTCGGTCCCTCCCCCTCGCACCTTCGGTCCCTTTTCCTCCTCTCGGTTCCTTCCTTCTCCCCTCTCGGTTCTCACCCTCTTAGAGCCGAACCTCGCAGGTTCGGTCCATATTGCCCGGTTTTCGACCATTTTCGCTTCCTGAGCCCGTTTTTGACAGGATGTTTTCACCAAATTCATATTTTTATCATTATTAACCCCCAGAACTCTTATTTTAATTATTTTTCAAGGATTTATTAATTATAAATCATTATTTTACATTAAGAAGAGTATCCTACACCACAAGTGGGTCAAGTGTGCCCACTTGCCTCCATGTGTCACTTTCTCATTGGTCCAACCTTATCCACATCACACAAACCAAGGCAAACATCCCTTCACCCTAGCCACTTGCTCCAGCAACCCTCCATATAAAGAAATGCCTGGGATTTCCTTGATCATTTGCTTCACCATCAAACACTTATACACTTCTTAAGTCATCAAGAGAGCCTCTTTTCTCTCAACTTTCAGCCACCCTTTTGATGTGTTCTTGAGTCATTTATTCACTTATTGGTAAGTATTTACTTCTAACTCAAGTGCTATTACATGTCTTCATAACACTCTTGGATCATCTACACACATATTAACACGCAATCGCTCTTAGGATCATCCAAAATCTTCGTGTGTTCATCAAGCGTTCTAGACTTGAAACTCATCATCTTCAACCTTCCATCCTTCAAGTAATCACATAAGGTGAGTTCATACCCCTACATTTTCTAGTTTTCTTCAGTTTTCAGGGGGGGAATACAAGCTAAAACACCAAAACATATTCAAAACTTAACTTGACAGATTACAACAGAAAAGTTGTGACCTGTTCACGAACTGTTTTACCCAACTTAAACTTAATATTTTTCAAAACTGTTTAATATGCAAGTAGTTCAGGTTTATACCTTTAAAATGACTACTTGCACATCTCCATACGATTTTTCTACGATTTATGGTGATATTTACAAAACTGCCTATCATTTCAGAAATGAATTCGGACCAGTCTGTGATTATGAACACTTTCACATAAGTTAGAGACTTCTAAAAATCATAATAAAAATTATGAATAAACTAGACACATTTTCTAAACTCTCAGAGTTTACTGAGTTAGTTTTCGACTTCGTATGATTTTTCTATGATGATTTCAAAGCAGTGCAGAAAGGATAAAAACTAGTTACATAGTTTACCATATTAACAACACTTTGTAGTATGTTGA